ACACGGGAGTCAGGGAAAGCACGGGGATTTATTGTTGTTTTGTACCATACACTGTAAATAAAGAGCACTGTTTGCATCGCAGAGTACCGCGACTGGGTCCTCCTTTCCCCACATCCCCACGGTCTGCCAACACAGACCGTGACAGAAATAGTGGAAAAATTCAAAGCGTGTAAGTCTTCAGGGAAGTTGCTTCCTCTTAAAACAAAGAAAGATTAGATTTTTTTTGTTATTTTATATGGTAAAATGTGGTGAGAGTCCACCATTGTTAACAGCTTAAAAAACAAAAAAGACAAGTTATATATTCCAGTTGATTGGTCAATTGGTGTTTTTTTTATGTTTTTTTTTTACTTGATTTTTGGTTTGTATGTTTTTTGTTATTATTTTACTGTTATAAATTCTGTAGTTTTATTTTAATGATCACACATGTGATAAACTTTATGTAAAGAGCTACAGGTCATATAGTTTGCATCCAGCCGAGTTCTGTATTACTTCAAATATTGGCTGATTGTTTATGACACTGTTTTTATTTCTGTATCAACATTTGTGTGTCAAATCTGTAAGCATTGCCCTGATGTTTTTGTGATTTGTGACCTTCCGGTTACAGATACGCTTCCCAACCCCCTGAGCCACGGTCGCCCCGACCTGTAGAGATAATTAAGTAACCATTAACTAATGTTTAATAGTGTGCACTTATTATAAAGTGTTACCAGCGAGGCAAACAGGCTTTATGCTTTAACGGCACGATGACAAAATTCAGCCGAGCAATTTCTTATTTTGCATCTCTCTCCTGAAAAACAGAGGAAATTAAACAAGGCAAGAGAACAAAGAAGTTGAAGATCTCTTCCTCTTGTCAGTTATAACTCTTTTTGCCTCTCAACTGCAGAGGAAATGATGAATTGTTCTGTGAGTAAAATTAATTTGTGCTGAGCCAAAACAGGAGGGGGTAGCCGTGGGGAGGGGAGAGCACGCTGTATTGATAAGGGCGCCGTGGTGAGAGTGGTCACTAAAGGGTGAATTATGGCTCATCCTTGAGAAGTAAAATTGCTTTGCAGCACATTATTTGGAGACCCTCACTAGGATGCACAGCTGGCAGTGCCACAGTGCTCACTGCTGCAGGCCAGTAGGAAGTCATTACTTTGCTTAGCCATTGATTTTCCTCCCGCTTAAAAAGATGCGCCACAGAAAATACGAACAGCTTTCAAGATAGATTGCCAGGATTTGGAGGAAACTTGAAGGACATTTTATCATAATATTTTGTGCCTAGAAATAAAGTCGTTGCTTTCCTGTTTTCAAACACTGCTGGTGCGTTCAGTCTACTTTAAGCCGAGAGAACGTGCTGGTTCTCCTTGCTAACAGTTTTAATAAATACCTTGACATTTCTTTAAATAATTGAGGTCTCAAATCATATGCAACTTGGAATATATCCAGCAACCAAAAGTGTGAGACTCCTAAAAAACATTCCGCTTTAATCAAAACCAAGACTTTGCAGAATTTAGAGGAACTGTATCAGGACTCCAGTAGGAGCTATTATTTAACTAGGTGGGAGGCAATGCGGTCCACATTTGCACGCATTAACACTATCTTGAGCATGATTTTACAGCAGGGCGCTGGCAGATTGGCTCATTAAGAGTAATCACACCATATAAGACTTCATCAAAAAGATATTTGCACTCACACCATTAAGATTCCCGAAGGGTGGAAGAGTGCACAGAAACACAAAGCAGATTTCCATCGAAGCCTGTTTACAGTCGAATCTTCTCCCCTGCAGAAGTGCAAATAGAAAGTGAAATATGTGTAATAAAATTACTTCATATTTCCCACCTGCCACCCAGTCTATGAAGTGTGATGAAGCAGCCAAAATGTTCATTTGATGCATATTAATTCAGGTCAACGAGCGTGGCGTATGTACGCTGCTGTGTGGTTGTGTGTGTGGTAATTAATTACTCCGGGAGATTCATGAAGCGAAGGAGCGTCCACTCTGGAAAATAGGTTGTTTTCTTTGCCAAATGTTGTTGAAATATAAATGCTTTGAAAAATGAGCAAAGAGTAACTGCTTTGTTGGCTACACAACACACTGGTCAGCTGCAGCTCCATTATAGTGACAACGTCCTGACAGCTCATCAAGCCTTTGGAAAGCCACCTCAAGCTGTTCATTGTGTGCACAAATGGCCTGCGGCTGTATCGCGCTGGCCAGCAGAAACTCATCTTTGGGGAAATGAAATGACAATACAGTGGATGAAGAATGCGTCAACAGATATTTTTTGACTTATTTGAGCCCGTTCTCACTCCCGAGGCGTAACATGCCGACGTTTTGTCA